AATAATAATAATTTATCCCTGCCAAAAAAAAAATAATAAATGAAAAACTGGATTATGACCCGCACCGCCCAATCCAACCTGTTCTCCATACACTCCAGGCAATGGGGTAAACCAAAAAAAGTTCCAGAACCGCGTCTTCCAACCCCAGCCCATTCCCAGCCAACTCAAAAGCCTGCTTAGCTGTTTTCTCTTTATTTCTCCATCACCGTTTCTCTCTTTCTTTGTCTCTTTGATACTTTGATTGACTACAAGCAACAAATCCCACTCTGTCATTAATCATATGTACACGCATTCTTTAGAGAGATGGGGACGTTCAGTTTTTTCGGATCAAAAGTTACAGAACACTCAATTTTCTTGTAGAATTTAGGCTTCACCACTTTACCCAAAACATAAGCTCTCGATCGAACCACGAAGTTCATCTTCAGAGGCACTGGCTTAGTAGTAGTCCCAGTTGAAGTGCTCAAACTCGACCCACCTCCATATAAAGGAATCTTATTCCCAATCACTGACATAGCAACCAATCTCTGACTCTTCCTTGATTGATAGAACTTCTTCAACTACAACAACCAATTTCACAAAATTAACAATATTCAAAGATTAGCAATAAGTTTTTGAATAATTTCTCTAAGGCTTACTGTTCCAGAGGCAATTGTGAGGTCAGAGTATGAGAGATCTAGAGGTGTTGATGACACATGGACGCCAAAAAATGTGGCTGTATTTCTGAAAGTGAGCTTGACGGTGGAGTTGATGGAGATCATATCAGTGGCCACACCAGAATTGTCCGAACCAGCTTGAATCACAAACCTCTCAAATGTGATATTCTGCACATACAATTCAACAGACCCTTTTCAGAATTCACATCAAATATAAAGAAGAAATGATTTCTAAATTGAAATTATGGGGAACAACAAAGTGAATTGGACTAACCCTCATGGTGATCTTGGGCTTGTGGGGTTTACTAGCACCCCACAAGATCAAAGAGAATAGAGAGAAGAGAACAAAGAAACCCAAAACAAATGCAAGAAAATAGCAACGACGAGGGAGGGTTTTGTGGGACTCTTCATCTTCAAGAAGTCCTTCTTCTTCAATCACATCGCATTCCTTCCAATTCTTTTGGCCTTTGCGGTGGTGTCTTCCACCAGATCCTCCGTCGTTTGGGGAGATTTTGCGAGATCCGGGTTTGAGGGACCCAGAAAACCGGCTAGAGGAAGACTCGCGGGAGTGACGGCCCACGGAGGAGTGAGAGTGCGGCGGCGAACCCATTGGGCTGATCACCGGCGTGGAGTGAAACGAAGTGGTGGTCTTCTCTCCATCGTGCGAGTCACGCGATGGGCTCTGCACGTAGTACACTGGACGTCTGGTGTGGTCCGGGGACGACGCCGCGAGGCTTGTCACCTCTGAATCTGTCTTTGCGTGCATTGTTGCTTCGAATTGTCAGTTCTCTCTGGTTTGGTTTTTCAATCACTATCTCTCCAAAACCAAACCAAGATCACTTATGTCCTCTGTCTCTCGCTCTGTCTGTGGAAATGCTCTGTTCTGCTTTCTAAAAAGCGAGAAGGGGAGATAGTGGGGTATGAATGGGACTCTTTTGGGGGTTGTGTTGGGGTTTGGTTTGCTTGTCAAATGGGTTGTGTTGTGATTAAGAAAGGTGATCACTGTGAAGTGTGAAAGCTCAGTGAGGCCGTGTTCTGCTTTACCATGAGAAAAAAGCAAACTCAAAGTTGGCACATGAGGTCTGAGGTTGGCACATTAACCACCGTTTCCACGGTTAAACATTAAAATCGAGGGTTCCAACTTTATCCGGACAAAACAAGAAAGTATTGAAATATAATTTTGAGATATAATAATTATAATTATTAGATTATGGATAAATTTTAATATTAAATATACATTTTACTATACTTTTCAAAAAAAAAATAAAAAACCCCGTTATTATAAATTTAATGATGGCCATACGTTAAATCTGGATATTATGTTACCAATAAGTCATATGAAGTGCCTGCGTTTTGACGAGAGACAGCTATGAGAATAAGGTTCTTTGACAGCTACATTACAGTTGGCAACGTGGATTTGGAGGTAGGGATGGGCTTATATGCAGCTAGCACTAGCAGTAAGTAACGTTGGCTATATTTTTCAACATCACGCGGTACAAGGATTCGTACTAGGTCCATACGTAATCCTTTGATTATCAATAATACAAACTCTTGTACGATTTCAATGCGAATATAAGTCATTCAGTCTATTTAATTAGTTGTGTAAATTAATTCACCAAATCTGATAATAATTATCTATTAATATAGAATCCTAAGATAGAATTAGTGGCCACCTGATCACTGTGACAGTTGAATGAGAGAGAGGCATGTTCCATTCCAGGAAGTGTCCTGTGCTCGAAAAAAGAACACGGCTTTGCACGCGGTGGGCTCCACAACAAACGTGAGACCATGTGGAAGGCCGAAGGAAGATAACATTATCTTTTGCTTTTGTCAAACGTAATTAAGATGCTGTGACGACGGTGTTCACAGTTCTGAACAAATTTCGTAGCCTTGCACCGCATTGCTGTCATGGTAAGAGTTATGATATGTCTTTACTTGTACTCCTTTCTCTAATTTTTTTTTTTTGGTTAATTAAAAAAAAATAGGGAGGGACAATCTGTAGAATTTTTAGTAGGGCGTGATCATGGACAACAGAGAGGCCCATGTTGGCCCATAGAATAGATGTACTTTGGGCTACCCTTTCATTCACATGTTATGGACTTTTAAAATCTACCAAATGATGGATGGATCCATTTGGTAGATTTGTAAATGGATCCCACGTGGAATACACATTAAAATATTATTTTTTTGCCCTTTTTGGGTTCAAGTTAGAAGCTACAGCCTGCATATACGCAGCCCATGCCCAACCAACGACAAACGTCGCTTGTGTGAATTGGACTTAAACGTGATTTTATTTTGTTTCAATTTGATTTGGACATTGTGGTTGTGAGTAATTGCGACAATTACATACACCTAACTCTTTCCTCATTTGTTAGATCCAACAGTGACGTAAAATTGGTCCCCTGCATTGTTCTTTTAAGATAATGTTTGGATAGAGGGATTAGATTAGTTTTACCAAACTCTACCCAATCTAGCCTTCACCTTTGTATACATGGGATTATAGACAAATTCTGTCTATATCTTTGTTTGATAAATAGCATATACATAAATGGGACCTACAAATTAATTATAATTATAACTAAATATTTATTGTATAATTGACTAAATTGCTCTATTCAATCCTTTGTAATTGGGTAGATTAGGGATAAAAAAATTCTCTTTACCATTATATCTTAGGTTGGCTAACTTCAAACCCATCCTCGTGGGTTTGTTGAAATCCATATTAATGGGTTTAATTGTCTAGGTTGGACTAGAATACGAATCCCAGATTTAAATATCTTAACTAAACATGAGATTAAATGAAAATTTTGACTATTTAATTAAACTCACCCTTCTAAACCCCGCCCAAACCCATCAACCAAATAGGCCCATAGTGCATAGTTCACAAGAAAAAACTCTACCCAATTTCGTGTTATAGACCCCCCTCCCCTCCCCTCCCCTCCCCTCCCCTCCCCTCAAGTATATGGGTTAAGACCCACTTTAGTCCCCTCAAGCATGTGGGTTAAGACCCACTTTAGTCTTCATTATTGTGCTATGCGGGATTCTTGGCAACTCAATTTAATAAAGTCTTAATTTTAAGGGGTTTTTGACTGTGAGTATAATTTTTTAGACTTATTTGAGAATGAATGTATGAATAAATTGTTTACTCTATTAAGTTCAATTTTAATAAAACATATTGTATTTAGGTACAAAATTCAAATGAAATCAAAACTATTTTACCTAAATACATTTCCTTAAATATTACATTCTTGATTGACAGTTATATATCTAATCAAATATGTAAAAATTTCATTAGACTATCTCCCCTATTTTCCCTCCATCTCTCTCTCTTTCCCCATTACTTTCCTCATCTCTCCCCTATTTTCTCACTATATCTATCATTGATAATTTTTTTTTCAAATATATAAAGATTTGATTTATTTTTTCATCTCTCTTCCTATTTTCTCTCTCTCGCTCTCTATTTATATCAATATTACAACAATATAATTATACTAATCAGTTATATCAATCAGTTGCAATTGTCTTGTAATACACCAAATAGTTACTCTAGGGTAATTGTAAGTAATTGATGTAACTGATTAGTGTAATTGTGTTTTTACAACGTTGATATAAGGAGAGAGAGAAAAAGGGCGAGAATAAGGAAATAAGGCTAGGAGTGAGAGACAAAAAGAGAGACAAAATAAGGGGGAGAGAGATAAAAAAATTAAATCAAATTTCTACATATTTAAAAAAATTATCAATATGAGAGAAAAAAGAAAGAGAAATATATAGAGAGAAAATAGGGAAGAGAGAGTGAAAGAGTAATGGAGAGAGGGAAAAAGAGAGATAGTAATAGAGTAGTAAATACCCTTTTAATTTTTTTTAAAAAAATATACTTAGGGCGAAATAAGTTAGTTTAGTTCAAATAAATTTAAATTTTTATACCACTTTCCAAATTACCCTAATTTTCAATTGCCTAAATGAATCTGGTTTCTTCCTTGTAATCTGTGAATGACCATATTTTTCGGTAAACCGCAAACTATTACAATTTTAAATCTTGCAAATTATCTTCTACTCTTTGCAGTTTACATCACAGATTTCTCTCTCTCTCTCTCTCTCTGTGCCACCAGTCAAAAATGACGACAAAGTCAGAGACAAAATAAACACAAAATCCAAAACCGTTAAAGGCTTTTTTGGATGTTTGATGTGGGTCATAAAAGTATAACCAAAAAGCAAAACGAAAATAGGAAAGACCACCCCCCCCCCCCCCCCCCCCCACGCCATAGACCAAACCAGCAAACAAAATCAATGGGAGGGTCCAAAATCTTTTGAACATCCCTAGCTGTCTGTGTTTCTCTCCAGTCGATGCCTTGGACACAAACCTCTCTGCTCCTGTCTCCTTCTTCTTTGATAACCTGTGGGAGAACAGTACAATATCGCATGTGAGCAGTAGGACCCCTCATTCCATCAGTCCTCGCTCAATAAAATGAGAAAAAAACACACAAATGCAGTGGTCTCAACCATCCTTAATTAAGGGAATCCTTGCTTTATATGGAAAAGATGTGTTTGACTCTCTCTCTTTCAGCAATTCACCAGCAAATCCTATGTCCTAATCGTATTTCTGCCAATGCATTGTCGGTGGCATTTTCAACCCAGAAATACACATACTCGCATCTAAGTGAATAGACAATTGGTAAAGAATGCAACTTTACCCCCAAAGAATAACGACAAATATTCATATGAAAGCTGGTTTTCAACTATTTTTCCGAGCAACCGACACTTTGCAGTCTAAAAAATATTTAAATTCTCAATTTATTAAAATTTGCACATTACACCCTCAGTCCTATAAAAAGATAGTTAATGTCGTCTATTATCATAAAATTGATTACAAAATTCACATGCAAAATGCTTAAGAGGAGTAGTACACAATAATTATGTGCAAAAATAGAAAAATATATTAAATACACCAAAAACAAAGCGACCAACGTTTGATTTTGAACTATACTGCTATTTTTATGTATGATTGAGAGTGCAATGAAAGGATTTTAATTTCCTAGGTGTAATTGTGAATACTTAGGTCCCTGATCTGACCTCGGACGGCATGATTAGAAAGACAGCCTTTTGGTTCTGCAACCATGGAACTAAAAAAGGGAACTAACATCGGGTAATGAAAATCAAATAGCAAGGAAAGCAAATGATATACAGCACAGTTCTGATGTAAAAGACCAAAAGAAAATAGGGATATAACAAGCACAATGGGAGGACATGGGTTGATGGGGGTGAAATAGAAAATTAAATAAAGGAAGAAGCTTCAATGACAAATGCAAATGACGGTGTTTAATTAGAATTCAGTACTCTCCTTCACACACTCTATAGAAGCATAGAAAGGCCGTTGCTAAACTTAAATGCATAGAGTTTAGTAACAACTTGCCAAACTGTGAATTCAGTGGATCTGGGATAACTTCAAGCCATTTATCTATTTGATTTGGAGACACCACATTAAGGAAAGGCAGACCCGGAAACCCAATTGAATCATTAGCATCTGTATACAGCGCAGGGTTCAAATTTCTACAGACTAAAGAACCTACAGTGAGTACTAATGAAACTCACATGCACAGGGGAAGTGGATGATATCTACATAGCCCAGCTCTGGATGAATCCTTTTTTTTTTTTTTTGGGGGGGGGGGGGTGAGAGGTGTCAATTCAACCTTTATGCTGGCTTGGGGTGAGGCTACTGCTCTTCATCAGTTTCTTGCTTTCTCCACAGAGATCTGTTGGTTTGGGCACTACTTTCATAGCCACTACTGTCACCTGATTCAATCACACGCTTCTCCATCAACCTCTCCATACCATCACGATGTGAACGTCCATGTCCACCTCTACGGTCCTGAAACGAGTTCATGTGAAAATGAAGCATAAGAAAACCCAGGGAGAAGAAATGATGATAATACACAGAACAACTTTAGTGTGCATTTCACATTAATGCTAAATTGAATACAATTTACACTGATGACAAAGTGGAATGCCACACAAGCTTATAATCTCCAGCAAAAAGACAGAAAAACAGTTGAGGGTAAAGAGTTTTGCTGGTGGAATAGGAACTTACATCCCGGAAGGGGAAATCATCAGCCTCAAGCATATGTATCACATGCCCCATCTTTGGCCTCTTTTGAGCATTTGGATCTACACAGCGTAAAGCTACTAAAAGGGCACGCTTCAATGCCCTCGAAGAAGGCTTTTCAGGTATTTTAGGATCCAAAACTCCCTCTGCATTCCGGTTTGTAACCATTGTTTTAAGCCAATCAACTAGGTTCACCTGTGAATTTGATTTGTAGCTTTAGACAATAGGTTAAAGGAAAAAAGAGGACACAAAAATGGAGAAAGGAATAAAATGGAAAAGCTAATTAAATGATACTGGTTATTGAATACAAACCTCCCCTGGAGGTCGGCTATAATCCACCGGATTCCTCCCGGTAATGATCTCCATAATAAGAATCCCAAAACTGTACACATCACTTCTCTCATTCAGCATCCCGGTACTCGCATATTCTGGAGCAACATAGCTACATAACAAAACCAAAAAGTTGTCATTTCTTTTTATTTGACAGCTTTGTCCCTGTCAATGAGAAATAATATTTTGCTAATAGAGTTTCACTAACCCAAATGTTCCCATAACCCGTGTAGTAATGTAGCTCCTCTCGGAGCCTAATAACTTGGCTAGGCCAAAATCAGACACTTTCGGATTCCATTGCTTATCAAGCAAAATATTGCTTGACTTGATGTCACGGTGAACAACCTTAGGCTCCAGCCCCTCATGCAAATACGTCAACCTAACAAGATTCATTAACTTTTACTTATACAACACAAGATATAATTCAAGAACAGAAACTCAAATTGTATAAGGTAATTATTCAAAATGTACCCTTTCGCTGTTCCAAGTACGATGGTCATACGAATATCCCATGAGAGAGGGCTGCAAGGCCCTACATCACCATGAAGCCACTGTTCTAAGTTCCCATTGTCTACATACTCATAAACAAGCATCCTAACAAACCAAAGCAAGAATGTGAGTGCATCTAATTTAGGAAACTTACAATTGAGGTTAATTTCAAGATGAAAGGATAAACAGTCTTATTGTTGAGGCGTTTATATATAGCAATTTCCTATTTCTAATTCTAGATTGAAGATGACTCCATGCACAGGGTTGCAATTAAAGTCAAAGTACCTATGAGCTCCTTCAGCACAGTAGCCAAGCAACCTCACCAAATTCTTGTGCCGAACACGTCCAATTGCTTCAACTTCAACCTTAAACTCTCTCTCAGCTTGTCCCCTGCAACAAAACAACGTTAGCCCTCAAAAAGAAGATGAAAAAATCTGTAACAAATCATTTGTTGGCACTGCGTGCAATAACATAAATTCATTGTACATTATACACAAAATTCATGAAATACGGATGGGCAAATTTTATTAGTAACTATTAATAGTGCACCTGTTATTGAGCAGATTCTTGACAGCAACTGGGTTATTACCTTCCAAGACACCATGGTACACGATTCCATACCCACCTTCACCAATCACATTTTCATCGGCAAACCCATTGGTGGAAACCTCGAGCTCTCGAAGAGTATACCAATGTCCCCACCCCAAATGCGACACCTCAGGCACCGCTATAGCGATTTGATCACCAGACTTAGCCTCCCCACTACCATTCGACGACCCACCACCACCAACTCGCTCCGGGTACGAAATCCGATGTCCCTTCCCTATCTCAATATGAATTCTCTGGTTCCCAGTTGGATTCTCATCCTCACCCAGTAAAGCGTGTCCTTCACTTCGAGCTAATGGGTTCGATTCGGGTACGGGTTCAGGAATTGGAGCTTGATGGAGCTTGGGGTTTTCATGGCTGGAGTGAGTGTGGGATCGAGATGTGTCGATTCGGATTTCTTGAATTTCTTTGGAGATGTTTGGGATTATCGGTCTTTGAGAGGACTTGTGTTTGGATGAATTCTTCTTGTAGTTACGTTTTGAGGTGAACCAGAGAGAGATTAGAAAGAGAACGAGAACAATTGCTGCACCAACGCATATACCCAGGACAACCCATAAACGCAGACCAAAGATTGAGGTTCGTTTAGAGAGCTCATCGTTCAAAAATCTTCGATTACCATCAGACATTTCTCTCTCTCTCTCTCTCTCTCTCTCCTTCTGCTAGTTAACTGCTACAGAGACACATTAACAAGATACGTGAAGGCAAAAGAAGAAAACGGACAATGGGATGTATGGACCGTGTGCTAGTGGATTGATAGAAGCAATGGGTGGGGACTCCGTAGGTAGCCGACTCTGTCAGTTTGTGTGTGTGTGCAGTGCGTGCGCGAGAGAGAGAGAGAGAGAGAGAGAGAGAGAGAGAGAGAGAGCTGTAATGATGGGACTTCTAGAATAAGGGGCATGGCCCACTGTTCTCTTATGTTTTAGTGTGAATTACATTCTGTACCTCGAAATATATATATATATATTTATTTTTTATATATTTCAGATGCTATCACCGTAGATGGACTAATATTTTATCTTGTATAAATTCGATTCTTCACGCAAGGAAAAAATCTATGGCCGATGGCCTTAACAAACTATGTTTCGTACCTTTATCTTTTTTTTTTTTTAATTTTAAACTATATCCTCTAATTTTAACATTATAAACTAAATTCAATCCGTAATAATAATTAAATTCTTCCCAAAAAATAAAAACATATGTGCATTACATGATACACTCGTGTGACATTGTTCTATAACAACACAATATATTGTACAACTATTTTATACTATAATTTATAACAATACAAATTTTTTTGTTAATGTTTTCAATAGAAATCATACAGATTTAAAACTTTGTCAAAACCTGAATATTAAAATCAATAAAATTCAATGTAAAACTTAGGGATAAAAAGTATAATTGATCTTATTATATGTATCAAATAGGAAGTATCTATCTTCTTACACTCTTCCTTGTTGAATAATTTATAGTATTTATGCTCTAATTTTCTTATTGGAGTTTTGGTGGATCCGGATTAGCATCATTTTATTTCCTTGTGTTTGATTCTGTGTCGTTCGTATGAACTTATTTATTCGTGTGGCCCAGCTGAGAGAAAAAAAAAAAATCTGCAAGGACGAGACGATAGTGATGGAAGCATTTTAGGTTTGAATATTGTTGTTGTTAAGCGATGAGGTTTATGGTTTTTAGTATTGCGTTGGAAGATACTCCTTTTGGGTCAAGTTTGTGGACTTTTATGATTGCTTTTCTTATAGTGCGGGGAGGGGGGGCTTGTAATTATAAGACAAGAAGATGCTAAATGCTCTATAGGTTTTAATGTCAAAAGCCATTGATTATGTGATTGGAGAGATACCTAATTGGGTTTTAAGGAAAGTTAAGAAGTGCTTTATTCATCTGAACCATTGGCATGGGCTTGGTGACACCTTTATGTCCAAACCAACCGACTAAAAGGTTTTAGCTATTTAGGTTGTGCGAATTTGATCTGAATATTTTATCAGCTCATTCTATACTACTACTCCAATGTGTGAATCGTGTCAAAACAAGCCTAAGGTCTACAAAGACTGCGGTTCGTATCAACATCTCTAATAATAATATTTATTTAATAAAACGGTAATACCGAGTCAATGTTGTCGTATTGTATTATTACCAACTAATAATAGCATACCAAATAGTTAAGGTAAACTTCACTTTGATAATTATTGACTTATATGAAAAGAGAATGAATAGTTATTAACTTACATGAATGAATGTATAATTATTAATTTGTGTGATATTTATTTTCTTATTTGTTTATATTTTATTGGTTAGTGATACAAAGTGACAATACTAATGTGATATCACCATTGTATTGAATATTTTCTCCTATTTTAGAGCATTTTTTAAAAAATTAAAAAAAAAAAATCTTTTATGCAAATTTGAGATAGAGTGAAATATTTAAGCAAACTTCAATTGACTCTATTCTAGTAGAAGAATAACCTTATAGTCAAAGATCATTTAATGAAAAATATATATGTGTTATCTTTTCATTTATTAAAAACAAAATAAAAAGTGAACCAAGATTTTCAAATGCGAAGAGTCAAATTTGACTATCTATTTTAATGGAATTTACTTTATCTACTTGTCATTTTTTAATTGAATGGTGACACTACGTAACAGTGATTACATTAAATATTTCAACGACACTATGTTGTTGACCAAAATTTATTATCAAAATTTTTCATGTCAAGTGATGTGACACAACCTTCATTATCAAATAAACAAATTTCATTAAAATTCAATGATAGAATAAAAAATAAAATTAAGTAAAAACAAAGAACCTATCGAAAATACTCTAACCTTGCTACACTATCGCTACATGAGGGATACACATCTCCACAATTAGAGTGGTAGACATCTCTACAATTAAAAGTACGGGACTTTATTAAACATAATCGCAGAGTGTTGTTTTTATCTGTATATGAAGATTATAAGGGATTTTTTGTCCTTTATTATCAATTTGGATGGAATTTGTGACGTTTTTTTAGTCCAAAGCCATATAACAATTATGTCATTATTTTCACACCACAAGCAATAAGATGTGACACAACAAAATAATGGGAGAATGAAATAAAAAATTTGCCCTTAAAATTAAAACCCACATAATTCAACTTTGGCAGTTACTAGAAAACAGTCACAAAAATATAATTTATGTAGGCATAGAGGTTGTTTTTGTCCTTGATGGCAACTAGCTTGTTTTGATTTCACAATTTCTGAAAAGCCTCCAAGGAAAGCGTCATTCTTACTCCATAGGTGTGAGATTCATAAGAATCAGAGTCCTTTAGGCTTTGGGGCTACTGATGGCTCAACTGATACGTTTTGCTAGAAATTGAAGAGTTCAAGGCTCGGTGGAGGCAGGGGAGCACCACTACCTTCCTTTTTTCTACCCCTCTGAATTCAATTTTATTTTGGTTTTACCCCTTTTTTCACATCTTATTTACGAGCACAAACTTTGCATAGGATAGTGAAAAAGAACGGTAACAACCGCTTATTACAACAAAACATGCCTTTGTAGATAAAAACATATGGGAAACGGGAACAGTCATAGGTTAAGTAAACAAGAGTTTTAGTAGTTACACATACCACAAGTCTGTTTATGCTTCTTTTGGCACAATTAACCTAATGAGCTGATCAAACGGGCGCGCGAGAGAGAGAGAGAGAGAGAGTACCAAATAATTCATCAGCAATTTTAAGAATTATTTACCATTTCTGTGGTTTTCAAACAAAGGTCTTGAATATGATTGCCAACACTCCACGTACCACTTCTATTACGCCAGCATCTTTTTGGCTAAGAAGACACACCCGGTGATGAATTGTGACCCGAGCAACTTATATCTAAATTCAGCCGTGATAGTATATCATCCCGGTAGATATCCTACACATTTGAGGTAAACTGGTGTTAATCCCGAACATTTGACTGTTCATATGAATTCTAGATTCACAGTTACCTTTGAAGATGTCAAATGATTGGGAACTCCATACTGAGTCTGAATTGATGTTTCCAAACAGAAGGAGCTCTCTAAATTCATAATATTTGTTAATGGGGGTATTACCATTGGTTGGCTTGGGGCAGCATGGTTGAGAATTTGAAATGCAGTTCGCCTAGGAATTTCTTGATTCCCAGGAAAGGTATCTGCTCCTCTGTCCATATTCAGCAATCCATTTTCTTCCTTAAAATTCATTGCCATCTGGGGGAGTTGAATTGGTTGTAATGATCCACGCAAATTAGTAGGATGGAAATTTAATCCGTTTCTCATAGTCAGCATCTGTGAAGCAAACCACAATAAAGAAGAAACAAAAAGTTACCAACTATTTTAATTTTTATTATCACCATTGGATATCTTCTACAATGCTTGGCAAGAAGGTTGAAAGAAGAGTTTAAGTATTAATCTCAACTAAGGCACACAAAAATGGAATTATGAAACCTAAACCAGCTACCACTCTGACAGGGGTCCAATATAAATTAATCATACAAACCTTTGCAGAGCACCTAAAAGCTTGAGTATATATGTGTTAGAAATTGAACTCAACCCAGGATATGATATGCGATAACTGAATACAAGCAAAGATGTGGAAGGCTGATTTAAGATGAAGTTACAATTGTACCATTTTACCGGAAGTGACAAATGTGGCTCCACCCAATCTTACTATAAGTTGTGAATCCGTCTATAATATATTAAGGCTCTTCCATTTTTCTTTTTCTGGCATGGAATTCTCACCCTTGATATGTCAAGACACTCACACCAATGGTTATGATAGTATCTTAAGAAGAAGAAAACTAATCTTTGCAAACATTGAGAAACATAAATGCTTCCCTTTTACTTTCTTGCACTCCCCTTCAACTTTTTAATTACTTTTCATGTCATCACAAGATGGTGTGTAGCTATCTTACAAAGAAAGAGGAAATATAGCACATACTTCCTACCCATGACGACTACACAAATTTAAGGCGTTCTTGTTTAAATAACCCATGTTAAATAGGATCCTTGTTGCAGTATTCAGAATTCAATTGGCTTTACATTGAAGAGCTCACAGCACGAGTTTTTAAGATACCTTCCATGCAAGTTTTTCCCCTGGTTACCATACATAAAATTTAACCCGACACAGTGTGAAGATTGATCAAAGAATACTCTATGCACATCCAGTTAATTGAAAACAGCCAAAAATAATCTAGTGCCAACAAGACAGGAAGTATAGTAACCAAAAACATTAGATTGACCTCATATGACAAACAATTTGTAGCTAAACACTAGTCAGATGGACTGAACTGAACACTCACCTGTACCTGTAGTTGAAGCTGCTTCAGATATTCAATGGCATCATCCAGCATTGATGCCTTATCAGTCTGTTAGACCGAAAAATGCAACAAAAGTTCAACAAATCATGCCCAGAAAACTAGATCAAAATCTGAGCGAACGAATAATTAAAATAATAAATAAAGCTCAAAGGGCATGTCCTATTAAGTAATCACCTTGTTAGAATTCGGAATTAGACTCTGCAATGCTTTCATTTTCTCATTGATTCGACTCCTTCTCCTCTGTCCACCAAATTAAACATATAAACAAATCCAAAACTAAAAGATCTATACACTTCTAAATGAAAATCAGAGCAAACCTTCTCGGACAAGTTATGGACCTCTAATGGTCTGCTCCTCTTGGAGGAACGCGGCGGAATAGGATCTACCGTCACCTCTGACGCTTCAAGTCCCTTCTAATTTCAACATTTAACACGTCACACCAAGTTCTCAAAAATCTACAATAAAAATTTCATCAGAACTGATTCCATTGAATTTTAAACTTACCTTGAAGTCCTCTCTGCCCTTCATCGACGTGATCGCATTAGATTCCAGGCCGCCAACCATAGAACAAGTGTTTTTTGTACTATCTTTCACCTCAATCGGAAAGTAGTCACCGGGATCGGAGAAATTGAAACTGGAAGCCGAGTGGAGCACGGAGGCGGACGCTCCGTCCCTGACTCGGTTATCCGAATCCTCCGATCGGGAAAACAATCCGGCAGTGGCTGAAGTCTCCGCTTCCAGGTATTTGGATTTAAGTGAGTTTAAAGAAGAATTTGAAGGTGGAGCAGATGAATAGTGGAGAATATCATGAAGAATCGAAGACATGTCGTCCGATTCGATTAAGGATGGGCGAGCGTTGATTCCGTACGGATCTGCCATTAATTTAACCAGAAAGAGATCATCATCACAATAATACACAGGAATTCAACACCTTGTATGCATCTGCTCTCTCTCTATTTCTCTCTCCCTCTCTCGAATGGGGGTGGGTTTTTCTCTCTCTAGAAGTGATTGCAATTTAAAAGCTTTAAAAGAGAGATTACAGAGCTTGCAATCAAATTTGATCGCACTCCCGCCTTAATTGTATTATAACTTGTAAGTTGGGTTTATTTCGTAAAAGCACCTAAAGTTTTCGTTTATACCTTAAAATCATCCTTAGCTTTTTGTTATTTCTCATACTCCATTGATTTTGTAAAAGTATCAAAAATTATTTGAATTTTATTCTTTCTTTTTTTATTGATGAACAACTTTATATTATTTTTCCTTTTTCATCTATAGGTATGCATTTCAACAAGATAATTCAAACATATATAATCCTTAAGTGTAGTTTAGTGACTTTGGTAATTTAAGAGTCTCAAGTTCAACAACCCATTCAAACTACATTAACCAATATCTGAATTCAAAAGAATAATTAACACAAGCTTAAATATTCGTAGCCAACAAAAAACTCAAACCTATACCGAGACAAATTCAAAGTGCGTAATAGTTAAATAGATATTTCTAGTCCTTAAGTTTGTAGTGACAAAAAACAAATCTCAAAACTCAATTTGAATTTCAACTTGAGTTATATATTCACGCATTAACTTTGATTCTTACTCGAGTTCAATCGGAATTCACGAATCTAAGTAGCTCATGTTGGCCAAAGAAGGAAATGAGTAGAACACCTACAATGTTACACTTCTACTTTCTTTGTTGCTAGTGCAAAACCACTCCACTCAGAAATGTCTAAATTTGTGTTTTAGTGTTGACAAAGAAAGCATATTTCACTGCAAACAAATCTAATCCATAACCCATATGGGTGGATTTAGTAATTAGGTCTATTCTTTGATAACCCAAAAGTCTTAAATTCAATTTCTTTTCACAGACTAACCACCCTTGTCCCTTTAGAGACACAATGGACATGCTCTAGACCACCTCAAACTACAATGATCAACAATTAAACTCAAGAGAATAATCAGCACATGTTTCAACACCCGGAAAAAAAAAAAAGTCTAATCCATTATTCAGGGAAAAAAAAAGAAGGAATGAAACCCAGGCAGTAAGCAATTCTTCTTCATAATGCTCAAAAAGAAATCCAACCAAAAAAAAAAAAAAAATGGCATGCACATTGGCTCAGTAATCAATGGAAAATTAACAGATGTTCAATAGTTCTACTTCCCAGAAGGTTTAAACCAGTTGTACTTTCACTTCTTGAATCGTTTGTATCCTCCACAAGGAGATCACAATAAAATTAAGATAAAAATACTAGTGTATATTCCATGGTATTGTGATGCCATGGGGAGGATTGATCTTATCAACCAAGTAGTCTCAATCAACCATGCTAAGCAGAATAACACAATTTCATATCCTGCCCTCCCCACCTTCTTATCGAATCAGGAATCAGAGTAATGTCCAAGAATACTGGTCTTCTGTCATTTAGACAACGCCGCTGTTTTACAAATGGGGCACAAATTCTTGTGCATCAGCCATTGTTTGATACAGTTACTGTGGAAATCATGCCCACACTCCAGCATTCCAAGATCATCGCCATCATTATATTCCTCCTGGAAACAATAATATAAAATTGAAATGATTAAAAAAAAAACACCTAACACATTAATGGAAGAAATAAATGATGCAGATATTTGAAAAAGAGGAAAAATGTACGTACCTGACATATACAGCATGGTTCTGCCTCCATTTGGTTTTCTGTTGCAATGGCTATATATGTCCTCTGCTTCAAACAATTCAAAATGGTTTCTTCGCTCAACCCAGTGCATACATTTCCAATGCGCTCTTCCAGTGCCAGTAACTCCTGGGAGCCCGGCAAATTTCAAGTAAGGGAACAATTTTTAGCACTTCTGTTACAGAAAATACAATGGGACCCTTTTGCATCACTTACCTCATATGACATGTTATCAACATCAAGCCGCATATCCCTGTGCCGATCATGAACGTCTGCCATCCCAAAAAAGACCGACTGATCAAGGATCATAACATCCTACAGAAGAGCAGAAGCACCTATAAGACCACTAGATAGAAAATTCACTTATTTGTTGAACAAGTCAGACTCAAGATTAAGCAATTTTTTAATCAAATTTCTTATCCAGATTCATGAGATAATTAAACCATCCTCTTTACATTCTCCTCAGGCACCAGTTCCTGAATGTATACAAGAAATTCTCTGAGTTCAAATTTTTTCCACTAAAAGAAATCAGATAAAATCCATGAGCACGTTTTCTTTCCACCATAAACACCACCCCTCACCCCCAAATAAAAAGGGGCAGAGACAACTCTTATCTAACCAGATAGCAGGCTTCATAATCCAGCAGGGTTTAGGGTTTGCACTAGAGTCTTGAGAATAAAAATACTATGCCTTTATTTGCACAAGTCTCTCTACACTTATGAGTGTAAACATTTCAGCAAGGTTTTTTTGACACAAACAACACAATAGCACACAGTTCCAAAACCAAAATCTAACCTCAAATCGCAAGCCCTCGCCTCGACGCATTAGATCCAAGACACTGCGAATCTGCTCAATCTGCTAGACAAAGAATATAAATATTAGCTGCAGTTGAATTGTAGCTATCCAAAACCTTAACAAAGGATTTAATAAAGTGGGAAAAAAAGTTCATAAGGAAGCATATTAATGAAAATTTTGCTTCCTAAAAAATGCAAATTTAACAGAACATAGACTGCTGCTCACATATAGTTAGGACATACAGGCACACAAAAGCCCATTCTCAGGATCCATGGACAGATGCATACAAATATAATTTAAATGAAACAATTCTAACAGTAAAAAACCTTTAGCAATTGCTTAAAACCCAAGGCACATAATATTCCTTATATTGTGACATCAAGACTATCATAAGCATTACCCTCACTCTACTTGCTGGCCAACAATTTTCCATAAAGGCTTACCAACAGATTATTTTGGAAAATAAGTGAACTTTAAAAACAAATGATTGAGATTCATCATTCATGTAAGTATACAATACAGGTAACATCTCTAGCCGCTCAAATTTGACCTTTTTAAACCACCACCAAGGCACAAAATAATCAGTTTTCTCCTACTGAAACCTGACTAACTACATAAGATAAGACAGCAAGAGGATTCTTTAGGATTGAAAACTTGACAGAATGTGGGTTTTTGAGCTGGGGTTGAGTGGCTAGGGTAAAACAGAGCAGAAACAATATCAGAGAGAGATGTGAGATTACTTGAGTAAGAGAGATTATCAATGTAGAAAAGCTGTGATTTCACAGAGAGAATAACAAAATTCCGAGAGAATATAAAGATCGACACTAAAATTTCCAGAGAACAAAACACAAAGGGCAGAGATAGAGCAAGCAAAAAACCCGTTTTTTCCATCTCAAATTCAATGGTGAACCAAGTTCTAGGTTCAGTCAAGAGGTATAAAATGGCAAGACAAGGAAGAGTTCCTCGAAATGTAGGTCTCATTTAACTCTCTCAGTCTCTCTTCTTGTTAATATTACTATATTTATTACTATAATTTCTGTCACGAGAAGGCTGGCGCACGTAGTAGATCTAGAATGGATGAGGTAGAATTATGTGGCCTTTGGAATTTGTCAAGCCCAATATTATGTTCTCATTCCCTTATTATTTTAAAAAAAATGGGGGTATACTTATGTTAACTAACTGACACAGTATATATTATGGTTGGCTACAGATACGATTGAGTCATTGACTTCTCTGCCACCTCATCCGAGGTTCAAAACAAACTGAGATTGGTTAAGATTTTCTAAAACCCATGCAGGAAAATTAGCCTAGGCCCTTAGGTCATCTTCAACCTGTCTAAGCTCAATTCATAGAATTGCTTTGCTTTTCTATTAGCATGGATATACTCCTCAAGATGCTCATATTAGGTTATCTTGCAGACAACTTACAATTAGGCATCAAAATGACCATACTAAACAATATCAAAATCTCTCTAACAGGACCTATTTCGAATTATATATGAGCCCAAAGAAAACCAGTTTTCACAGTAAATTCTCTATTCTAATATTCTGCAATACCAGATCCCATATTGACACGGCTAAGAATGAGACAAGGAGGAGGAAAAAGATCACAAGTCATTAAGAGAACAATAGAATCTTGGTACAACTAAGCAGAAGGTCACATGATTTTTTGGACAACTATTAGAAACATTCCACTTTTTTCGTCAAGCATGAACTTCAAGCATGATGGGTTGAAAACTGCATCGTAGTCAAGATCAAGGCTTGGACCAGTAATTTGGCAGCAACCCATGTATTAAACAAGGTCGAGGTTTGATGAAATTCAATTGATTAAAAACTTTTTTTGAAATGTCAATCAGGAATAAAAGCACACGAAATCCATAAAAAATAGATGATGCAATAGAATACACGAAGCAATACTCTGAATTATATTACAAATCTATGCATCCAGCCTGATGCCAAAGATGCATGTGACAAAGTGATCACAAAGTGATTCTAGTTCATACTGAATATGAATGCTTTCTGAATAAGTTACAGCTCAGGATTACAAAATTCTAATACTTATAACCATAGTTGTCAAATCGCGTATCGGATGGCGAATCGTTTTTAAAAAATAGTGTATCGTATCGTATCGTGTATTGTAAAATACACGCAATTTTAATTTTTAAATAATTATTAATAATATATATATACCTTTGTAAAAAAGTTATAGATTCATAAAAACATAGCATTTCATTAATATTCCATCAACTATTAAAGTTCCCAATATAGTTCAGTAATATCAAAATACAAAAACCTCTAATTCAAACTTTCAACATTAACAGTTTGAACAACCTTAATATTAATCCGGAATTTTAAATTCAATTGAATAATTAACAGCAGAATTTATCTTTTTTTTTAAACCATAATCACTGAAACGACATTGTTTCATTCGCTAATGATTTAAAAATAAGTCATAAGATAAAAAAATGTTATTTCAGTCCTAAAAAACCAAAAAAAAAATAAAAAAATAGAATCATCACGTATCGTACATATCATATCGTGTATCGTACGATACAATGCAAAAACGATACAGAGACATGATATATATCGTTTTTCAGGTGTATCGTACGATACAATGCAAAAACGATACAGAGACATGATATCGCATATTGTACTATACTTATAACCACGTGAGCACCAAGAAAAAACAAACCAATGCCAAAACAATTGTGGTCCATCATAATTTTTAGAACTGGCACTCACCAGACATAAAAATCCAAAGTATGAGGTGATACTCTTTCCTTCTCCCACCTACCATCCCCACCCAAAAAGAAAAAAGAAGTAAAGGAAAAAAATTCCCAATTGGAAAGGCAAAGCTGGCATGTATAATCCCAAATTAAAAAGGATCTTAGAGGACTTAGACACTTTTACCATAACACTGAAACAATTAATACAGATATCCTAGAACACAAGGGCAGAGCCAAGATTTCTATTTAGGATAGGCAAAATTTTGGATACAAAATTTCAAAAATTGATTTATATATATATATATAAGATAGTAAGTTGAATCTTTATCCCCTATACATTTTTCCCCTAAACAACATCACATCATCCAATTCTATCACATGTTCAATCATTTAATATTTAACTAATTTGTTGTTTAACACAACTTTTATTTCATAAATTATTCATACATGATAGTGCACATATGTTGAAAAAAATTTATCAAGTTATGCAATTTGAGAAAATTTTATCGTTATTTTTAAGAAAATAATAGGTAGAAAAATTAATTTTAAATTTGGTACACTAGGATCAATTTTTTGAATATTAGAATCTTATATTTCATTGTTCCTTCATGAACAGATTATGACTAGTACATATATATATAAATATGTGTGTGTGTGTGTGTGTGTGTGTGTATATATATATATATAAAATCAACTAGCAACTTAAATCTTTATCCCCTATACATTTTCCCCCCTAAAAAATCACATTATTCAATTTTATCACATGTTCAATCATTTAATATTTAGTTAATTTATAATTTAACACAACTTTTATTTCATATATTATTCATACACAATAATGTACATATGTTGAAAAAATTTATCGAGTTAGGCATTTTGAAAAAATTTTGACGCTATTTGTAAGAAAATAATAGGCAAAAATTAATTTTAAATTTGATATAATGAGATCAATTTTTTAAACGCTAGAATCTTATATTTCATCTTGCCTTTAAGCACAAGTTATGATTAATATGTATATATATAAAAGCTATTGCAAGTTTGGAAAAAACATAGAAAATATATTAATAATCAAAACTAAATTACTAAAAGCGAATAAAACTTGCATCATTTAGCCTGACTAAGATGTGGAACAAAAAAAAATCACACAATACTTGTGTCGTAATCTGGCAATCTTAATCACATATCTTAATACAAGTCAATGCAATTTTATGTCCCGAACATTATCTATTGATTCTATTTGTAAAATTTCAAAATTTTCAGAACTTCCTTTTTTTATATACATAATCTACGAATTTACCACTAAATTGTCATATTTTACTGAAAAAAAATTTGACATTATATATAACCAAAAATAATCCTTAAACCTAACAAGTGATACCAATTTGGATTACCATTGAGATTCGACAATAACTCTTTGACTAGATAAAACATAAAGTAGATAAGAAGTAATTGAGATAATTGAAAATTTTTTCAATACCTTGACACGCAAGGGTCAAAGAAAAAGTAAAAAAAAACTAGTGGGGGGCACTACTTGAATATTTCATGGGAATCTTTATAAATACTAAAAGGTAGAGTTGCTAAGGTAAATGTTGGAGGGGGGGGGGGGGGGAATAAGTGTGGCTCTGTCATTCCTTCCTAGAAGCCTTGAACATACCTCAGACACAAGCCTACTTCTTCCCTCACTGGCAGCAGCCAAAGTTCGCACGGAATGAGGAATCCCAAAAGCACCATCAAGTTGTCTCTCCAATGGAATTGCTGACCTTGAGTGTGACAGATGATGCCGCTGGTTAGCAGCTCCAGATGAAAGTGCCATCTCTTGTGGGGAAGCAGGAGGACCTGAAGGCCCTGAACGTAGTGGAGAATAATTGCTGCTCTGGGCCCCAGACTCAGAACCAGCAGAGGACAACAAATATCGACGAACTAATTCTGATAGTCTCGGTGGATAATGTGGAGAACTACGACGGGAAACCCAGTTAGGAGCTGATGACGAATGCCCACCTGAACTCGAGCCAGTCTGTGAAGTGGAAGCAACATTTCCAGCAATACTTATATTTCCACCAGATAGACTCCAGTTAGTTGGATTTTGAGCTGAATTTCTCATGTCAGGTGCAGGTACAAAAATAGGATGCTCCAACATGTTTCTTGGCATGCTCCTTGAGTTGGACTCAAGTGGAGCATCTCTCTCAACAGAAACTACATTACTTGAACTGCCAGGTCTCGAGGTAGAACTCCCATTCCACCTAGCTGATTGCAGATTTCGTCTCAAAGCAGGAACGCGCACTGCAACAGACTGGCCTTGAGGATTTGTATTGCCTGCTGGTGTTGATCTCAAGTCTGAAGAGATATTAAGAGGGAGGGGTCTAGCTGATGGATGGGAAGACAAAACATTTGAATGCCCAGCAGCACTGCCTGTGGGAAACACATTACTGGTGATGGAATATTGTTGATGTGAAGCAGTGAAGGAATCCTGTTGATGGGAAGCATTAATCCTCAAGCGGAAATTTCTCCGGGACCCTTCTGCACTTCCTGCTGGATTCAAAGTAAGAGGCCTTCCAGAAGCTGCTCCTCTAACACCTAGTCCAAGACTTGGGTTTACATGTTCCAAAGGACTACCAACGAGAGTGTTTCCCGATGGAGTAGATGTACCTGAGCTGCTGCCTGCATTAAATTGAGTGGAAGCACTATGCCATCCGTTACCTTCTGCAGGCTGAAAGTGGTTTGGTCTGCCACTCCCAGAAGACTGTCCAACATGTCCTTCAAGAGCTTTCCTTTTACAGGATACACGGCGACCCTCAAAAGAACAACCCACTCGATCGTTTTCCTCCAAATATCCACCACTTCCAGAAGGTAAATCGAACTGATTAGAAAAATTAGTAGCACATGGAACTCGCATATTATCTAATGCACCACCAGATTTGTATGCATTAGGAAGCTCAATGACATTGCAATCATCAACACCACGTTCCACAAATGCTGAATTTATGCTAAGGTCCTGAGGAATAGAACTAGAAGTAGAACTTTGCAAGAAAAAAGGCTCATTTGCAATCTGATTTGTACCCTGATTTACATCATCATTACTCAATGAAAGAATGTGAGCTGGATGATATTGCCGTTCTTCCAATATGGACTCAGCTCCACCACAAGCCCTCATCGACGATGACCATCCGTGTTCCACTTTTTGCTCATTATGACTAACCTGATTTTGCAAGGTACTAGAGCTGGGTTCACCTATCCATGTACTTAGGTTCTGCCCTCCTCGGCTCGTAGAATTCAGATAAGCAACGCTTGTGTTGCTGGATGGCATTATATAGTCTGGTAGCTGGTTTTGTGCAGAACTCTGCATATTATTCCAGCAAATCTGCTGATCTAGACCAGCATCACCTGACGTAGATCCACGATCAATGCCCAAGGTTTCAGGCAAGGAGCCCCCAGCAACCCTAGGCACTTGCATTGGGGCTGTGATGCACTATTTGAAAATTCTAAACAGGTACCAAGACAATATTCCAATGCAAAGAGAAAGGAGCGCGTCTGCGCGTGGGAATTATTTGGCTTACCTGAAATCATTAGGGCACACCAAATATGTCATTATTTTGAAAATAAAAGAATCGTATATCATCCATAAATGTTGCATGCTTTGTAATGCAAGATATGCTGTAAATACAAACATATGCAAATGTGACTGCAGTTGCTTAACCATTTATAATTCCTCCCGTACAAACCATGAAACAGTGGGCTTACAAATATCTCAGGTTCCAAAAACCTACTTTAAAGCAGCCAAAATACTAACAAAAAAAGACTACCAGAAATTGATAATAGAAAAGTATTTGGTTCCAAGTAACCTAGAAAGTTTCTGGGTTATATGGGAGAAAATTTCTAGAAATGAAAAATAATAATGTTTCCTGAATATCAAGAGCAATAATGCCAGCCTGACTCAAAGGAGAAAAATGCAGTAGAGATAGTATCAGTGCACAAAAATGGGATAAGAAGAGATGCCCCACCTCCAGAGACTACCAAAGTACAGTTGCCAACAGCAAAACAGCCACTAGACAATGCAATCATCTATCATCTCGCAGGCTCTCAAACAAAACCGACATCCCAGCTACATGAGATGTCTAAAAGACTCTTTTTAAGAACATTTAGATTTATCACATTCTAGGTACAGAGTGGATGAAGTGTTCATTCAGTCAGACCATTCAACTCTATTGCAAGCTGGGTTTCGCAGGGAATGTTGTGAACATTATTCCACCACAGGCCCCATAACATTGTTATTTCCTAGCAATACCAAACATAGCCACTTAAAACACAGCCTTGTAATCCTACTAGTGTAGCATCATTCTAACTCAAAACACATCATGAACTTGTCCATATCAGCCACAAAAGATCTGGTTTCCAAATGACACTGACATTCACCTACTAACTAATAAGGCACTAACATGAAACCACCTTATTTGTTTAATAAGAGATACATTACAATTGACCACCTCAAGTCTAATAAAAATTGTTTTGAATTCAATCCAAAAGGCGATACTCAATGCATAACATTTCAGCCCATCTGGGTCTATGGAGCTAAGAGCTAGGCAGCCTTACAATGCCGTAAGTATCACGCGGCAGGGTGAGCACCAGTCATTGTTCCAATTCCAATACTGTTCTGAATTTTACCTGCAAAAGCACCACCAAACTATCATATATAAAATGCCCAACCCCTTTAAGCACCAACAAGAACCATAAAATTTGTACCATCCCATCCTTTACACCAAAGTAAAGACAGGAAGAAGTACCACCAACCGGACAACAACATTACACTACATAACCCTCCAGTAACAATGAAATGGGCATCCACTAGTATGAAAAATCTATACCTAAACCACGAACAAGTTAGACGCCTAGAGAGAAGTACGTATATAGAAAATGAGAAATGTTGACGGAGATAACAATCCGGAAAATCATGATAAGTTTGGTGAAAGTAACACAGCAATGAAAAACATTCCATTCTCAAATAAGCTTTATATTAGACAATCTGATGAGTCAAAGAGCAAAAAGAAGTAAAGTCACTCCATACAGGTCCTTGTCTGTACACCCATACCTTCTAAATAAATTTTAGAAAAAAAAAACCCAAAATATCTAAAAAGAAAGATGAAACAAGCATAAAAATTTCGAAGATTTTCCCCAAAACTAATAAACTTGAGAGACACAAAAAAATTAATTTAACAAAACAAAATCGGTAATAGAAACAGCGCAATCTGAAAACTCACCAACTAAATCATAGCAGATTGTGCGGTGGATCAACGGTCAAGACCTGAAAACACAAAAAAAACGTAAAAAGACTGTCAAAAATGATGTAAAAATTCGCACCGCTCTCTCTCTCTCTCTGTGTCCGCAGAGGTAAAGATAAGGGAAAAGACTCAGAGATAGACAAAACTCACCGATCAAAGGCACGTATAGCGATAAAAGAGAGGAGAGAGAGAGGAGGAGGAGGAGGAGGGGGTTAGGAGGAGGATGAGATGAGAAGGAAATGGTGGGTGTGTGAACGAGAGTCTGATTAAAGATGACAGTAATCTTCTTTAATTTACAAAACGCCCCCCACCCCTCACACCCCCAGGCCTCACAGATAGATTAATGTAGAGAGAGAAAGTTTGTGTTAAAACCTAAAAGTCGTAAAGCCTCAGCACTTTCCAAGAGAGAGAGAGTCCGGCGCGCATTGGGAGATGAGTTCTGATTTTAGATAGCGAACGCAGAGAGAGAGAGAGACATATGGTGAGCTGCCCAACAGGACACCTTTTCGCTTCGTTGTTGGCTTCTGCTTATTCAACTCTCTCTCTCTCTCTCTCTCTCTCCCTCCCACTCTGCTTGGTTTCCTTGTTCAAGTAAAAGCACATTCATCCTTTACTTAAATTTTAATTAATATTTAAGAAATTTTTTAATTTGATGTAAAAAAATTTAATGGACAAATTCAATTTTTTTAAAAAAATAGATAAGAATATTTTTTTCAATTTTAAAAAAATAGATTAGAATAAATTTAACTATTTTCACTTCACGTTTTTATTTAATGGATGTTTTTATTGTGTTCCAAATTGATATTGTATCTCTCTTTAAGAGCATGCTTTAATTTTTTTTTTAAAAAAAAATTAGTAAATAAATTAGGTATAAAATCGAAATATTCCCCTTGAAAGCTTTGGATTTAGCTTCTCATAAGAAATTATTCGTTACTAATTTGATGAATATTCAATCGGAACTACTAAACATTATTATTTTAATAAAATAATAATAATAATAATAATAATAACTATTTTTTACCTTGATGTTTATGGGATGATTATCCGGTCCCACAACAAGATGGCATACACAGAAGATAGATATTCTATACCAAGATGTCCTATTGCTTGTCCAATTTTGACCGTTCAATTATGGACTTGCTTTCAATCAAAGGTTGGAAAATTATTTGAGTCACCTGAATGTTCTGTCTTTTATCTTTATTTTTGGTTAGTAGCATTTTCAAGTATGCTTATGCTGATTATCCAGTCACAATTCATTCGCGTCACGTTTTAGATTTTCTTAAAATATTTTATTTTTTAATTTTGAACTCAATATATATGGATGAGTCTTTCACCCATACACCCAGATATCATTGGTTCAAATTTTAACAATTTTTTAAAGTTAGGTCATGAAAGATTTATCTCTTTTCAATATCATAGTTCCAGTATGAATAGTCTGCGTTTGACCGAATAAGTAGGGGATTAGTCGAGGTATGTATAGTTGATCCATACATCCCTAACTATTAAAAAAAAAAAGAGCTTTTTACTAATAAATGAGATGATAAGTGATCTATCATTAGATAAAACTTTAAAATATAAGTTTATATATTGAAATGGATGTGAATTAGCATAGAAGGTAAAAATACTTTATTTACTTGTTTAAAAAGCGGTGTGAATGGAAGGACTACTTGGTAGTGTATGTATAAAGAATGTCTGCAAGTGCTTAATGGGCCAACTCTCTTTTAATAACTTCTCCTGAGGACACTGTTCCTATCTCATTCTGTGGACCTCTTAATCTTTCACACTACGATCCTATTTCTGCTCTCTCCTTCCAAAGCTGGTTGCTTTGCCTTTTGCCATTGTTTTTTTATTTTTTATTTTTTATTTTTTGTTTAGGCCACAAGGACAAAGCTTACAATTATGCCCATAAGGACTACTTGAACAACCCTTCAGTAAATACTTAATACCCACTTAATTATTCCGTACCTATAAGGAATCATTGTTATTTTTCCATACTTAGGAGGTCAGAAAAGGTTGGTATGGAAAAACCTTGTATGACATCTATTTTTCAAATGGCCACACAATCAAATGTTGTGTTTGTACATTCAAGCATGGTTTAAAAAGTTTAACAACTACTTTCTAAGTCAAGATTGTCAAAATTCGATTCATTTTTTTTCTTTTCAAAACCATAATTGACTCATAATCAAGCTTGAACTTATATTTGTGTTTAAACTTAAAATCGGCCTCATTTGTTAAGATCAATTTGGTTCATAGATACATGTGTATGTGTGTTTTTACGAGCCATACAAGCTATTTCTTAGGCTTGGCTCGTTTTTTAAACAAGGTTTTACAATGAAACTCAAACTCAGTTCAAACTTTATGGAGTAATTCAGTAGTTGAGACTAGTCTTTAATAAACTAGAAATCTCAGGTTTAATCTTTTCTCATTCTCTCTAAAGGTTAGTCACTCTTGTCCCTTTAAGAACATGATCTACCATAACTCAAGACACGATGGCCAGCCACTAAGTTTGAATGAATAATCGACACAAGCCTGCATACCCTGTAGTAAAAAAAAAACCCATACTCAATTCAAACTATTCATAAACAATACTTTTTATTAGCTATCCTACTCTTCCCTACAATTGATGTACCATAATTAGTATAAATTCTCAAAATAAAAAAAGCATTAAAAGAAAAGAACCCATAATGGCAAACATAGCTTAGTAGATGTGAAGACCTCCATAATGTAGAACCAGAGCAAGCACTCATTGGGTCAGCCTAGGGGAACATATATGAAGCTTGGCTGCTATAGAAAGGTTGTTTGTCAATACAGAAAAAAGCTGTGGTGGTTGACAACCATGGGGCCCCATCTTTCAATGTATCTGTTTGAAAGGTAGGTAATATGGTGAATCAATAAAGCCTGGGAAGCACAACTTATGACTCCCTTAATTTGGTCTGCATCAAGGACTGAAATGACCCACTTCCCATTGGCATGTATGAGTGTGATAGCATATGGGGCAGAGAAAGAGCTGGAAAACTGCTGTGAGTGATAATGGGAAATGAACATGGGAGAGTACTAGTGAATGTTTTTATTACAATAAAGAACACTTCTAAGAAGAAAGTTAAGCGCCTAAAAGGATTGTGATCAAAGAGTCAATGATAATAACTTTTAGGGGATCAAGAGTGCTTCACACCTACCACCACAAATTGCCATCGTCAGAACTACACTATCTATATTCACCAAATTTTTTATTTTCCAGTTTGCCAAAAAATGCATGGCAATAAGGTGTAATTTGTTGGGTATAAAAGCAGAGTCCACGGAAGATGTTAGAGATGAGTGAGAGGATATAAAACCATGGAATTGTGCCACAAATTCTTGCTTTTGCTTAAAATAAAATAGACACCAATAAGAGTCACATCCATCTTTCTTAGAACCGCATGAATTTGGGTGATACACGGCAGCATAATCACAGGTAAGATGCGTCATATTTCGACACCCCACTGTTACATTTTTGGGTGAGAGAAGCAACAGCCAAAAAGGTTCAGATTATACTCTCAGCACTGGTACAAAATTAATCAAAGAAGATCTACAAGACGTCCAGAAATGCATTCCGCATATTTGGACAATAACAGGATACATTATTTATCTTTGTGCTACCATATTTTCTGCCCAAAAATTCTAACCCGATTTCCATCTCATAGGCGGGAATGCATAAAGCAGAAGCAGCTTTAGCGGTTAATTGGAGTGTGCATCCTCTCAACTATCTTATTTATGGCATCACGAGACATTACTAATGTGTCATGGAGAAGAATGCTATAGACGTTCAAACCCTGCAAAACCAAAAATTGGAACAGGCATAAGCACAGAAATGAAAGCGACTTCAACAACCACCATCAAAATCATAAGCTCAAAGCCAGCAATCAAGAAAATGATTTTGATGGACCACCAACATACCATTCAAAACTCAATATTGAGAATTAAACAAGAATATACCAAGAAGATGATAGTTTACCAGTAATTCAATGCTGATAACAATAAGATTAGGTAGATAATTTGAAAGCAAAATAACAAGTCATGCAAAAAAAAAAAGAAGAAAAAAGAGCAAGACATAGAAAACTACACAAAAAAAATCAAGTTCATATATTACAGAAGTGGCGGAAAAGACATGATGCATGATTCCTTGGCATATTACTCGAACATTTTACGTAATTTTGGAAGCATTTTCACAATGCTTAAATTGCAGACTGCATAGGAGTTACATCCATGTCCTCTCCCCAAAAACAAAAGGGTTGAACACCAGACACGAATGAGAAAAAATTAAATGCAATGATCAGTTTGTTCATCAGCCTCAGCTTAAAGAAATCTCACATGAGGTCTTCAAGTTGATCCTTGCATAAAAATTTAAGCAAAACAAAGTTCTGAAACTTACAATCGAAGGCAGTACATTAACATAATGTATATTTTGAGTAGCCAGCTTTAGCTTTTCACTTATCGGACCACCATCCACCAGCAGAAGTTTTTTTTTGTCCTCCATTTGCTCGACATAGTTCACGATATTCTTGGTCTTATGTGTAGGGACCTCTAAATCCTCAAAAACCATAAGCTGTATATTAATTCAGTCTCAAATTAGGTTGCATATACAAGCAAAAATAGTGAAGAATATGAATCAGTTGCATGAGAAGACTACATCGTTATATGACAGACACTATGGGAAAAAATATTGGGAGTCAATCGAATAGTATCATACTATATTCATGCTGGGTCGTGTCATTTTGAATTTGTATCAAGTTTGGGTAAATCCTAATCCAAGTTTTTAGCTAACCTTCCCGAACTATCTGACACTAACCCGACCCAAATATTAGCCGTGTCGTGTTTTCATTGACAAGCCTAACCTAGAATTTGAAACCCAAGACAAGGTTCCCTTTATATCTCAATAAAAACCACCACCTATAAACCCTCATAAAATAAATACCCACTCAATCCAGATGTTAGGAAAATCATGTATAAAACCCACCCTCCAATTTTACAAAGATATTATACCAGATTAAGTAATTTTTTAAAAAAGAACATCGAACATTTTTTCCTACAATACCAATTCCACAATTTTATCAAATCAAAAATGGGTTATTTATATTCAACACTATTCCAGCTATGCTCAATAATAACAAACATGAAGATGCGAACTGTTTTCGCAGGCAAGTTCGGTGGAATTCATACTACAGGCTCAGGTTCAATCTTTCTAGCTTATGGACCATCTGTGCATGGCTGCTGCTGATTATAAACAACTGTTGGGTACGCAGATGATGATGAGGATACAATGCTGAAAAGAACTCTAGCACAATAAATTATTAAGAAAACAAACACGTCCATATAGTGGGTGCTGAACCTAAACATGGTCCCCATAATGGTATGTTTGAATGTATGTAAATGCAAAGGCCAAAAACCAAAGGCAACACCAGCAACAAATAGGTGCTGATCAGACCAAATCAAGTTCACAGCAAGTTGGCCTGCCATAGAAGGACTGAAACCAGAATTATGAGGACTTTTTCTCTTTTGTAATGACATTTCCCTTGAAAATAATAAGCAAGCTTGTTATTTTCCCTGGGAAGTTTACGTGGTCCGAGAAACCATAACAGCGTATCAGAGTGCAATAATCACCCCATTAATCCAGACAAGGATACCTCGGGTCCTCTACTTTATTGCAAATGAGAAGGGGGAGGAGGAGTGGAGGTGAGGACTTGCCTTTCCTTCAGCTGCACGAGCTGACAGTGCAATCTTTAGCCCTAGCCGCCGAACCTTCTTGTTCAGCTTAATAGCATGACTTCGTGGCTTTGGGCCATGCATAGTAGCACCACCCCTAAACTGTCATGCATTAAGCAGATATATTGACATCCATTTGATGGCATCTTAAAACCCAAGAAATGAAAAACAAAGGCAACCCTAGTTAGATTATAAATAAGCAGGAAAATACATTATTACCTGAGGCCCACGCAATGTTCCATGCCTCGCTCGACCCGTGCCCTTCTGTCTCCATGGCTTTCTTCCAGTCCCACTGACCTCGCTAATAGTTTTTGTTGAATGAGTACCCTGTGGAAAACTCACCCAGTATAATTCTCTATGACATCTTACTAAGCAAATTCCTATGGCTCAAACTTGGTACAAATGTGGAAGATTAAGCTTCTCACATGGACAAAGCATTCAAATTTTTCCTAAATAAAACAAAAAAAAAACTAATGCTAAAACATAATGGTGGTCGAGCATAGGACTCCAATAAAATCCACAATGCCAACAAGGTCAAATCGACCATCTCACTCAGCAACACAACTAGAATGCTTACAAATGTGTTTTAAAATACTACAGCTTCATATAAGCTCACACGCACTTGACAAATAAAACCCATAACATTATTATACCTGTTGTCGTTTTGCAAGCTGCCATCTTACAACACGGTGAACAATATCCTTCCGAATAGGAACATCAAACACATCACCAGCCAAAACCATAAGGCCTTTATCTTCATTATGGAAATTGGTCACGGGGATTACCAAGTCCTGGCAGAGTCCTACGACACCAATCAAATGGATTAACAAAAGATTTTTACCATAATTTTATAAGACAAACACAAAGAAGCCATATGCATTCTTTTTTTGACAAGTCAAGTTCATGAGATGAAAGATAAGATTAAAACTGAAAGAAACATCAGTCCACAAATGAGCTACTTCTTGTAGGGTCAAAGTAATCTAATTCTACTAATTGATGTACAATGAGAATTAGCAAGACAAATGGCAACAAATTTTGTTGAAAGTTAAATGCTGACTCTAAACTTTTCCCTACATGACCAGTTCATCTACTACTCATAGCGATTAACTTTAAGAGCTATAAATTTCACCTTTAACAACTAAAAAGCTAACTCTAAAGAGAGAATTGTCAGCAGAAGTTGAACTACATAACTAGAAGTCTAAATTCATGAACAAGACATGTTGCCCACTTTGCCACACAAGCATAACATAAAAATTAAGTTTATCATAATAGATTTGTTGTTTCTGTCAATGTCCATAGTCTCAAACTTTGTATCTTATCTTAAACTAATTCAGCTCTTTCACTGTAGCATTTAGCATGACAAATCAATTTCACATTGTATGAGATACATTGAACATGTCGAATTTTTTAAGTTAACACAGGTCATAGATGTGATTTTTTTATTTTGGGCCCAGTGACAATGATTGGACTTGTGTTTAAGCTATAAATAAATAAATAAAAATTTATGTTAACATAAGGTTACTCCTACTGTGGTTGTTAGGCCCATTGAACTGTACATAAATCTTACTTTCTGATAAAAAAATATAAAAAATCGGTTCATAAATCTCTCATCTTCAAATGGCTTCGGATGTATATCAGTTAAATTTCAATATGCAATCCAAACTAAAACTGAAGGAGAAATAGTGTAAAATCAATCCATCTTGAATGCGTTCAATAGATTATGACTATGGAATTGAAAGGAGCAGCAATCTGTTTGATAATTTCCTCTTAAATTGGCATTAAACCATTTTTTTTTTTGGGGGGGGGGAGAGAGAGAAGGTACTGTACAGATCTACAATTGTAAAAAGGCAAGAAAACAATATTGTAAGAAAACAAGGTTTCTCAATGTGTAAATTGCCCATTTAAAGGACACCCATGTCCCAAATTACATAGTAGGGGGCACATGCTAATACTCCCCCTGAAAATGAGGAGGTTGGCTCTTCCAATTGAATGACTGCAGACAGTTAAATGAGTAACTTCAACGAGTATAACATATTTCTTCAGCAAAATAGAGCTGTAAATTTTAAATGCCTTCTTCATACCTATAGTGCGTTCCGGAGTCACAATGCGGTTTTTGGATAATAAATCAGATGGAAATGCACCTTCACTTGATTCAGGAGTTAGAATAGAAGTTGAAAGCCTTCGAGAAGCAAGGACAGGCGACTCATCCTGCATTGAGAACCAGAAAAATGGGCAAAGTTGGTAAATCAAAATCCAATCCCCCGTCCTTTTCTTCTTTGCAATTAATCATGAAGAAAGTCAAAGAACTAGTTAATTAAAGTCATTTGAAGCATAAAATCTAGAATGGTTGTAGGGTAGAGTAACCGACATAAGGCCAATACCAGTTGAGGTAGAAATTTGGAAGAGTGAGATCTCAACTCAAGTGACTATTAAACCATAATATCAGGGCACATGAAACAAAGCAATGGAAACAAGAAAAAGTCCATCAACTAAGTTGGTCCCAATTAACCAGAGTTTGCTTGGAACTTGGAAGGGTGCAAGGATAGAGCCAAGAATCTAACCCGCTGGAGCAACCCGTGGCAGGTGAACAACAAGTATTGCACATATTCTACAAATTTAAAAAAGCACCCGTAGATTTAAAGAAATCACAACCTCATATATTTAATGCATTTAACTCAAAAAGATAGCATCTAAGTGACAACTTACTTGTTACTCATTAAAAAGGAAAATGAAACCTAGTCTGCACTCCTAAAAAAAGAAGCATTTACCTTCCCAGATGTCGAAGATAATCGGTCCCCAAAAACATGGCTACACAAGGCTGATCATGAAATATAAATAAATTTAGCAAACCATGGAAATCTAATAATGCAAAAAAGGTCAACAAAAAGAGACTTTATTAAAAAAATGAATTAACACATCTCTTACCATTAGAAAAACGAAAAGATTGAGACGAGACTCTTGGGTAATCCGACGAACCCAAGCAACGCAGAAAAAACCAACGGGAAATTAGCAAGGCCATGATGGTAACACTAAATCAGAAAAGACACGGTCGTAGTGTACTCCAGAAGCAGCAACTGAAAGTCACCGATTCATCTTCTCCCAAAAACTTAACACTTTTTTTTGAAGAAACTGCAATAGCACAAAATTCAGATAATGCCATGTGAATGATCAAACCTGAGCCCTAAATGCATGCTTTTATAGCAAATTTCCTGAGACAATCCCAAATTATTTTTAGGGTTAAAGCAAAGAACATAATGTCAATGACATATACAGAGGTTGAATATGAAGCATGTGCACAGAGAGCGAGAGAGAGAGAGAGAGAGAGAGAGAGAGAGAGAGGTGCTTACCAGAAAGAGAGATTGATCCAATGTTGAAATGAAGCCACTCCGAGAAGAGGTTTTACAAATTTGCTAATACAAAACGAAGAAACCCTTTCATAAACCCTTCTTGTTGAGAAAAATCGAATATTGAAAAAATGCGGGCCGGGTTATGACCGACCACCCGTGGTTTTCAACCCGCCTGTGAAATAGAATTCGAAACCAACGTAAGCATGTTAAATTGTTAATAGTCTCGAATGAAACGGGTCAAGAAATAACTCAATTTGTTTATTAATTTGTCATATTAAGTTCGTATCATATATGAATCATGTATAATAAGTACTTCTTTTGATTGACTTCATCTATATTCAATTCATTTTTTAATCGTGTTATCGAGTCCATTAATTTACGAAACAGGTAACTTAAAAAAGACTAACATTCTTCTAATTTTGTCTTATATTTGTATCGTGTTAACGAGTTATATCAAATTTTAACGCCACTAAACCTATGTACACATTGCAGCTTAAGGGTAATAGTCCATGAAAATTTTGTGTGAGAATCAAACAAATTTTGTTTGACAACATTTTTCAAGTATTTTTTGATATTTTTCTAAGTATCATTTATTTTTATATTTGTAATTTTTATTTTATTCTTATCCAAATTTACTTCTTTCATCCGGATTTAAGCGCATGTATAGTAATACATATATGCACATATACAAATGTAACATCACATCTATATAATAAAGTATAATACAATTCAAATATCAAAAGATAAACAAAATGATTTTTATTTTTTGCGGTTGAGATCTCTTTAAATTTTATTTTAAAATTAATTCGACGATTAAATGGGCCTCTAAGGGTGTGTTTAGGACAATTTTTTAAAAATACTAATAAGACTTATAACTTCTCATAAGTAAAAAAAAAAAAAAATATATATATATATATATAGTGTTTGGAACTGACCAACTACCACCACTACCTCCACCGCTCCACCACCACCACCACTCCCATTGCCCCACCATTACCACCACCTTTATCGCCCCACCCCCACCCCCACCCTCATCATTGCCACCTCATCACCATCTGTTTCACAACAACTAACACCATTGCTGCCGCCACCACTATCCCCCATTACCACCACCACCGTTGCTGTCATCTTACCACTGTCATCACCCCTACCACCATCACCATTGTCTCTCGCAGCTGCCATTATCATAATTATTTGTCGTCACCCATCACAACTATCACCATCACCACTGTTGTCAACCATATCTCGCACCACTACAACTAATGTTTATATTTCTTTCTCTCTCCTTTATATTTGTAATTTGATTTTGGACGTAAATAAAAATATGTTTATTGTTGACCATTTTTTTGGGCACAAAAAATAACTAGTGTACAATAAGATACAAAAAAGATCAAAAAAATTGTAATACCAAGTTTGCCCCTAATTAATGGGGTTTGAGAGGTATAGATTTAGATTAAAAAATGAAGAAAAATATTATACAATTCAAATAAAACTTAAAAAATACATATTATTTTTCGAATGAGTGTTGAATGAATGAATTTCACTGAAAAAGTTAATGGGACTCAATCATCTAAAAGATGATATATATTTATATTACAATTTTTTAGATTTTATTTTATGTTCTATTTGAGTTGTGTAACATTACTCTATTAGAGGTCGGATACAGAGTAAACCTTTAATATTATTTGTACAAAGTGACTAGTTTCGGCCTTCGAGGTTTGCACCAACGGTTTTAAGGCTACTAATAGGATGAATTTTAAAGGAAACGCTCAACTACTGCCACCCAAAATACATATTGATGACCTTTTTACATAGTAATCAATTTTTTTTTAATATTTTAATTAAAATATGTATTCATTTAAAAAAGTTTCTACGTGAACTTTTAAGCAATGTTAAGATTTAATTGGGTGAGATTAGAACAGAAATTCAGATAAATATCATAATGTTAGTCATAGTGCTAATAATCTATATAATAAAATAGCTAACAAATTAAATATTTATTGCCTATATATTTTTTCCTCCAACAAACTGTTGTAACGAAAATTCCAAGAGCATTGACAGCGCGTATGTATCGAATATCAAAAAAATTTCTTTAAAACCCTACAAGACAGAATTAGGGTCTACCTTCAAGATCTCTCGGAACTGATCTCATCTCAGCAAGAACGCAGAACAGAACAATGACTACCGTTCTCCCAACCTCGCGACCTTCTATCGTAGTGTGGGCTGTCAAGACTTCCGAATCCTTCCTCTCTTTTTCAGCCTTTTTAAAAAACGTGAGTAAAGATAAGATGCTGAAATAGATAACCTAGACATCTATATATAAGCTACAACAGAAACTTTAAGGAGAAATAAGGACCGGGTTCCCAATGGGCTTAGGATTTTTATGTTTAACCCAAAACAAACATCTTACAGCTCATTAATAATAAGTCAGTCCACTAAAGACTTATTATTTATCTCATATACCTTATCTCAAAATTGTATTCAAGCTCTTTATTATTATATGCTTAATAATCTCCTCACATTTAAGATTACAGATATCCATCAATTAAATAAATCACTGACAATTATATTTAACTAACTTTTTTTATTTCTTGAGACCTTAACACTTAACTTATTTGTCATGTCGGATAATTAAATTTACATGCAGTGTTTGACATGTACAAAACTTATGATCTTCTTCAAGAAAACATTATCAACTCATTTAAATACTAGGACGTGGTTTCTTTTAATCTTTAATTTTCACCGTATAAATAATACCGTCTCCCAATTTATCGAGTTTATTGACTCAATATGAATCTCTCTCTTTGATGAATTAAAGTGATAAACATTATATATACGTGACAATAAAATATTTAGGGATTTAGAGCATAAATAATTATAATAATCATGAGAAATTTATTATCTTATTAAATCAGTAAAAAATAATGACTTCAATATAAGTTTGTTCAATGCACAAAGTGTACTAATGCAATAATCCGAGACATCAAAAAATCTCCTATAGTCAAAACAGACTATGCCAGAATATTACGCTATAATAATACAGATGGCATGTCCAAATCTATTTACGATTGTGAACATATACGCATATTATACAATAATCCGATAATCTGATTTTTTGTGCATAAATCAGACTCTATACACCAGATTATCTACAATGTAAAATATAAGACACACATGTATATCATTTATAAAATATAATACAAACATTTTGCTCATATAGATTCTCAATAAAATGAAAAAAATTAAACTTTTAGTATACTACTCTATCACAAATATCACATCACCTAATTCTATCACATGTTCAATCATTTAATATTTGGTTAATTTATAATTTAACACAACTTTTATTTCATACATTATCCATACACGATAATATACATATGTTGAAAAAAAAAATCGAGTTATGTATTTTCAGAAAATTTTGATGTTATTTTTAAGAAAATAACAGGTAGAAATTAATTTTAATGATATAAGTAAATAACTTAATTTTAAATTTGGTATAGTGCGATCAATTTTTTGAACACTAGAATCTTATGTTTCATATGACTAATAAGTTCATATGATAAGTAAGGAGTTGTTTTATAACACAATTTAAGGTTTAAAACTGAATACATTAAACACTTAATAAATTAAATCGGTTTGATAACATAAAACTCATATTAATTAATATTTTAAACACTTCTTAAAAATAGGCTAAAATTTTAAGTAACAAACCACCTACTTATCACTTAATACTGAAAATATTAGTTAGTAAGGATTTTATCAATTTCTCATAATAGACAAATATACTCTCACCACCATTGTGCCACCGTTATCACCACCACCATCGCTATCGCCACCACTATTATTGTGCCACCTCCACCACTATTGTCGCCGCCACCACCATTGTCACCACCACCACCACGACCGTCATCACTATTGTGTCGCTTCCATCATTATTGTGTCGCTGTCACCCGTATTGTGTCATCGTCGTCACCATTACCACTATGTTACCACCACCACCACCACCATAGTTTTAAAACCCGGCCCGGACATCAACCCAAAAAAAAGACCGGGTTAGTGGATCAGTGGTTCAACCGTTAGGTTACTGGTCGAACCGGTAAGATAATAAAAAAATAAATAATAAATAATAATAATAATAATAAATATGCTAAAAATTATAAAAATAGCATGCTTAATATATTTTAGATCAAACAAAAACCCAAAAATTACCAAATAGATTCTCAATCAAATAGGTAAATCAGCAACAATTAAGTCATAACTCAATAAAAAACATACACTATTAAGCTGTAAGATTTCACCTCCACCCAACTCTCAATCAAACAGATTAAAACCCCTAGTTCATCATCCTTAATTCCCAATTGAGTAATTTTTGGAATTGATAACTAAGCAATGCCCTTAATTTCATATGCATTATCAGCTATCATCAACTAATTCACTAAGTTAGTCTACAATGTAGTCAATATTAAAATAGTAGAGCGGGAGATGTACTTGTTGGGAGAGCCTGAGGGAGCAAAAGATTGATCTGTGAGAAGCAAAACAAGTGAAGAAAATCTCCAATCAATCGGCTGGAGGATTCCAATCAAGAGACTTCAAGTTCAACAGTGGCTTGCTTCAAGTTCGACAGTGGCTTGCTTCGAGTTCTACAGTGGCTGGCTTTAAGAGAGAGAGAGAGCGAGAGAAGGGGGCAGGTAGAAGAGGCGTAGAAGAGAGATGGATCGTGGCTGTGTGAAAAACGATTAGGGCAAAAGAATGCCCAAATAACTCTAAAACAAGTACTAAATTCGGTCAACTCGTTAAAATCGTCCAAGGGTTGGGCTCAAAACCCGTCCGGTTTAACGAGTTATGTCTCATTTTTACGCTTAAACGATCTAATAAGGAAATCGGCCTAGTACAGTAGCTGGTTCACCGGGTTAACCCTCGGGTCAGGCTGGTTTTTAAAGCATTGGCCACCACTGTTGTTGTCACCACCACCACCATTGTCATCGTCGCCACTGCCACTACTATTATGTTGTCACCACCACCATTGTCGTTATCGTTACCACCATTGTCATCGCCACCACCGCCACTATTATTGTGTTGCTGTCACCGCCACTACAGTGTTGTTGCCACCATTGCCATCACCATCACCATTACCTTCGATGTCGCCATCATTACCATTGTGTCACTGCCTTCGCTGTCACCACTACCACCATTATTGTATGGTGGTGATAGAAATAAAACAGTTACAGAAAGATGGTTAAAGATAAAGAAAAAATTAAAATAATAATAATTTTTAGATTTTAGTTCCTTATATTTGTCAAACAGTTTGATTAAATTCACTACTTAAATTTTAGTTAATAGCAAACAGTTTGTAAATTAAAAAATCAGCATTTAGCATTTAATGTTCTGCGATCAATTTTATCAAACACCACCTAAGTCCACACTACAATGGAAACTCACTGACTTAATTCATTATGATCCAGGTTAGTTAAAGTATGAACCAGCTTAGCAAATATCAAAATAGTTTTGCAGTCCTCAAATGAGCTCGATTTACTTGAAGCAGTTCAACTTGCAATAAAGAAAAGGATAGAAGAGGAACTTCGCCATCAAATATTATCCAGAGAAATAAAGAATCTATATTTAGAGTGTCATGTCACCAACTTCTAAAGTGTTATGTTATACCTAGAAAAAAGTGTCTCTAACAACCAACCAAGCAATCTATTCAATATTCAAACAAACATGAGGACTGTCCTATAATTATTTGAGGCCCACATTACTGCAGGATATAAGTGGGCAGTTGAGCAATTGTAATCTCAAGAGAATGTAATATTTTTCTTCTCCAAACAATAAAAACCAGATGAACAAGAGTTTTCATTATAATAGACTAACCTAATTCTTCAACCTTGACAAACCACTTATCTCGTGATATTATTACTTACTATTATTCACACACTCACAACTCGTTTACTTGACACAGAGCTCACCCGGCTCACTCATACTTCTTAGTTTTATACCCCCATTAGTTAGAAATTAATTTTAACTGCATTTAGTCATAATTTAATCTCATTTAAATCATAACTAATGCTTTTAGAGTTTGAACTTCACTCCAATTGAATTATAACTAATCCTTACTGTAAGGGGTAGAAATCGCTACGGATTTCTACTTCCGATGTGGAAGTGTTCACTTATATGGTAGGGGGGAAGACGACTCTCTTCCGATGTGGGATTGTCTTAGGCGAAGTGAGGTAAAGGCTACTGGGGCTCGGTGCCGCCAGGTCAGCCGGAATCCTTCAAGTGGAGGGATGAAATCCGTAGCGATTTCTACCCCTTACAAAAAAGCGCCTGGGTTAACCAACGCGGGCGACCCCCCAATAGCCTTTACCTCTCAGTGCCCGCAGGAGCTTCGTTCCACATCGACTGAGAGTCGTCTCCCCCCCTCGCATATAAGCCCTTGCACTCAAAGGAGAAGGTACCCACTAGGCACCTTTTTTGTAAGGGGTAGAAAACGCTGCGGATTTCATCCCTCCACTTGAAGGATTCCGACTGACCTGGCGGCACCGAGCCCCATCCTATGGAGGAGGTACCCACTAGCGACCTGATCCGGTGCCTAGGTACCCACTAGCGACCTGATCAGGTGCCTAGTGGGTACCTCCTCCATAGGAAGTGTTCACTTATATGGCAGGGGGGAAGACGACTCTCTTCCGATGTGGGATTGTCTTAAGAAAGGGTCCTATTGGCGAAGAGAGGTAAAGGCTACTGGGGCTCGGTGCCGCCAGGTCAGCCGGAATCCTTCAAGTGGAGGGATGAAATCCGTAGCGATTTCTACCCCTTACAAAAAGGCGCCTTTCTGTAAGGGGTAGAACCCTCTACTAAGGATTTCGGCTTGACCTGGGTTAACCAACGCGGGCGACCCCCCAGTAGCCTTTACCTCTCAGTGCCCGCAGGAGCTTCGTCCCACATCGACTGAGAGTCGTCTCCCCCCTCGCATATAAGCTCTTGCACTCAAAGGAGGAGGTACCCACTAGGCACCTCGACCTCAGTAGAGGGTTCTACCCCTTACACTTACAAACATACACTATAGTAGAGTAACATCTCATTATTGATCGATAGTGTCCTATGATGTTATGAAAAGCATGATTAAATAAGCCATATAACCGGAGTGAGTACATGAACTTGACTACATTAGTTGTCATCCAAAGCATTCATGATAGACAAGATGGGGAATGAGAGCATAATACAAACTCGAACAATCTAAACGGATAAAAAAAAAAAGAACAAGCACAGAAGATGGAACCACAAAATCAATGTATCTCAGTCGACAAATCTAAAGCATTCATGAACTCCTCGTCACTTTCAAGAGATCTCATAGAATCCGGCGAAAGGCACACCTCCAAGTCCATGCTTCCTCCACCTTCTCTTCCAGGATACAAACTCACTTTCCCATCAAACTTATTCGCATACCCACTTCGAATCGCCACTGCTTTTCCCAATCCAAATTGATTCCCATACATATCAAACCTTGGTGAACTTCCCATCATGATGCTACAAGGATCAAAGAACTGACCCAGCTGGTATATGAAAGGTGACGCCAGCCACGACTCAACCCATTCGCGAGTCAATTTGTCACTGTGGCTAGTCACGGCCTGGTGTAGTAGCCACGCAGCCCACCCAAGTCCATGTTCAAGCAGTTCACCAGCTGTGGTGATTCCTCTCACCGTTTGAATCGAATTTCCGAAATAGTCTTCAGGCAATGGTGGATCCAACCTTGTTCTGTTATTGATTGCCATTCTGCAACTGGTTTGTTGATCATAGGGAAGACGACGAACCCGTGTCACGCACCTCCAGATAAGTGCAGATAAGGCCTGCAATGAGGAGATTTTATTGGTGTTGAACTCAGAATTTGCCTTTGCTTTGAGTTTTGACAAAGACTCTGATGAAAAGTGGAAGAATCTTTCCCTCAATTTGGGTGCTTCATGTCTACTGAGGAACTGATCATGGTGGGTAAATGGGAGATTGATCATTGGACCATGACCTTCAGGAAACCAGTGATTGTGAATTGGTAGCCTTGAGATCGAAAAATTTGATAAATTCTTCCTTTTCGCTTCGAAAATCTCAGACCAGGCATTGAAGAAACGCCAGAAAGAGGTGCCATCAGCAACACTATGGTTGATTGAACACCCAATGAAAATACCATCAATTAGCTCTGTCACTTGAATAGTTAACAAAGATACAGTGTGACCGTCATGGTTGATAGCCCTGTCATGATCGAAAAAAGATTGAACAACCAGGGGCACATCAACTGGTGAAAGAATATCTGATATTGTCGAGTCCAAAACTGCATAGATAAATTTGGCACCAGGACTGTTTTCGACATCGATAAAGACTGTATAAGAAGGTGGATTTTCTTGTTTGATTGTTGCAAGGCGGCCTGCGAGTGGGTAAAAATGGAGGAGTGTGAGAGAGAGGGACTCTTTAAGATTGGTCAAGAGATCATTAATGGGTTGTTTTGGATCATCTGAAGATGGAGGTGGCTTGGGAAAGAAAAGGCCCTTCTGTATGTGGTGGACAGAGAGCATTGCAAGATCCCATAGAGCCAAGTGAATGGGTTGTTTTGACTCCTCTGAAGTGTATTGTGGCTTGATGAAGCATTCTGAGATGTGTTGAACAGTTGGAAGGCTCATTTTGCTGCTGTTGATTCTCTCCTCATCAGCTCTGATTTATAGACTCACTATTATACATAATCTATTTATAAATTAAAAAAAATTAAAAATCACTCTAAACATAATTTTTTAAAGAACACCCCAAATAATTTTGAAAAACATTTTGAACTCGGATTTTTTTTTTCCACTTAAAAAAGTCAACTCCAAATAGGATGATTAGGTTTTCCAAACAAGACCGGCACCATAATAGATTTTGGCCAATAATTTATACCATAATTTATGAAGACTTGGCCACCAACCACGGATGCCAACAGAAGGAGGTAGGTGAGTAGGTACTGGACTCACTCAAGCAATTCATATTTAATGCATAAATTGACAGACCCAGTCAAGCAATCCGTGGTAAAAAAAAAAAAAAAAAGGTCAAGCAATCCATTTTTAATGCATAAATTTTCATGGCTAGTGGACATTCTTCGTATGAGCTAAATATGAAAGATGTTTGAAATTTGTCATTTAATCACATAAATTTTTTGATATTTGAAATATTATACACAAATTTTTTGAAGTCTATACATAGGTAATACATAGACTTATACCGTTAATGTCTGTTAGTATATTCTTTAATAAATTATTTTCAGACCCTTAAAATTTAAAACGTGTAATACTTAGAGCCCTCAAGTTAAAAATATTATATTTTGACAAAAAAATACTCTAATTAAAGATAGAATATCAAATATTTAAAATTTTATAATCAAAATTCATGTTCTACTATGTCATTTATTAAAATAAAATCAAAAATAAAAATTTATTTTTTTTCTTAAAAAATTGTAATTAATACAGTTGGTGTCGAAATTTAGATGATCTCCACATCAGTTTGTTGGACTTTAATCACCTAAAAAAGAAGTCAGAGAACTCCGAGGGTCAACCCTCCAATGCCTAAGTTAGTAAGTGACTCCAATGTATGAATTACGTTTACAAGTTAAGAGTGGCATACCTGTGACATTTTGGACTAAATGGACTTTTCACATTGAGTGAATTTTTCCATCATCAAATACAAATATATAAAATAAGCCTAATCAACTCATTTGCACATTCCATTATATCATCTATTGACATAAAATTCAAAACAAACTTTCAATTTTTTGAGAAAAATATAGTAATCAGTATAAATATTTCAAATAATTCAATTCAACATTCATTTCATACAATTAAATTATCTATTGGAATAAAATTTAAAAAAATATAATAAATGGTCAAATTATAATAGATACAATATCTTCTATATTTACTTGGGATAATTTAATTGCTTAATAAATTTCGTTAGTTCTATAATTAATAAGGAATTTAAGTGTAATATTTTAAACTTGAAATATAAGTATTATACGCCAACAAATTTTAGGATGTTTAAATGTAATTTACTAATAGATATACTAACGGACATTAATGACAAAGGTCTAAGTGTTATACGCGTACAAATTTCAGAGGATCTGTGTGTAATATTTCAAATGTCAAAGGATTTAGATGATTAAGTGATAAATCTTAAAAAATCTAGATATAATTATCTCAAATATTAAACTTATATTGTTTGAATCTTGAGACTGTCATATGTTCTTTATGTCCTAATATTAACCGTAATACAAGGTTGATTTACATCATTCCCTCTCCTAAACATAAATCCACTTCAGGCGTTAATTGGATGCGGAAGCTATGGAATTTGGGCTCAAACTTTTAGGTGGTGTTGGATGAAAGGATTGAGGGGGATTATAGGGGGGATTGGATTAAAATTGTGAATGAGTCCATTTATTCCTGATTTGGATAATTTTTGGCATGAGATTGGATTGGGATTTGAATTCCTCGGGCCGTAGGTTTTGAAGCGTTCAATCCTTTCTACAGGCCATTGAACAATCATTTCTTCTGTGGGGGATTCAAAATTGTGAAGTGGGATTGCATATGAAAAATCAAAAATACCCTCCACAGTAAATACTTACCTCCGTGTATCGATCTTTGAAGCTTCACATGAGCTTTAATTTTTGCATGGAAGTATCAGATCTGTGCATTGTCACTGCGCAGATCTGGGTAAATTTTTCGGTCTGCAACCTCCATTTGTTTGGGAAAAAAATAGAAATGATCTTCACGGTAACTCATCTCGATTTGTTTGAGAAGATAAAGAGGGAAGAAGATAAATTTTTTTAGAACCTTTTCTTTCTCTCTCTGTCTCACTCTTTCTCTTTGTTTGTGACTGAAGCCGAAGCATCTGTGGAGAACATGAGAAATTAACCACATTAAAATCCACTTTATATCCCCTCAATTCGATTGTTTTGCACTTTACCTCTTATGTTCATAAATTAGCACATAACTCTCAGGTTTTTTTTCATTTTATACAACTCTAAAAAAATTAACATTTTAATTAAAGTAACATATTTTAAATTGACCTGATTTTTGCTATTAATTCAAGCAATAATATTAAAATGCCCTAAAATTCATGAAAAATAAATTGGATTTGGGTCATTGAAAATTTTTTGGATTGAGTTCAAATTAATTTTGCTATTTATTGAAAAAAAAATTGTGACTAAAAGTGAATTGTACAAATTAAATTAAATAAATGAAAAAAATATTTATTGCAATCTTTTGTAAAAATGCGTAAGGTATTGATTCGTATTTTTTTTCGTAAATAAGACAATACTAATGGATTTGACATTTTTTTTCACTCCGTAACAAACATAATATAGGATTGGATAACATTTTTTAACACAAAGGGTGAAATGGTCATTTGAGTATGTATCATCAATTGTGAATGAGACCCATAAACCAAATGAAACATATCCAAAGATGGAATAGGATTTGAATCTTATTCTTATAATCTTCTAATCCGGACCATTTTGCATTGGGTAGGATTGAGTTCGGATTCAAATCTAATCTAATTCAATCCTCCCATGATGATCCAAACACCACCTTAGGAATTTTAATTCTTATCCTCCCCCCCAACTCTTTTTGATGCTTAAATATCAAAAACCTTATTGACATATAAATGTTGTGGTTGATGGAAAATATATTGCACTGAATAGTTCATGTTGTTTTGAGCAAATCTTACGTATCAATTCTCTATGAGTATGTTTATTGTGGGTGAAATGTTGTGGTGGTTGGATTTGCATTGGAATGTAATTTGATTTAAGGCCATAGTTTGATTTGACTCTTCTTTTGTTAATCGGAATGTAGAGTTGTTTGATGATGTTGAAGTTTGAATTCCCTAAATTAAATCACAATACATGTTAGGGACATTTAAGAAATTGGAGTAGATTGACTATGTGATTTTAAGAAATTGAATGCTAAATATGTGTGCTTGAATGAATAGTGAAGTTAACTATAGTTGAGTCGGATCACTTGCAATGCTTCAGAATTGTAAAAAAACGTGTAACGTAGAAATACATCAATCCAAAGATAAACTTTTCGTTAATAGAAGGTGCGATATATAAAAAAAAAGTTTAACTGTTTCTTAAATACTATCATGTATTTTTGACATTGTAGTGGCCACATATATCTCACTTTTATGTGAAAGTCCTCGTAACATTGTTTATGTTTGACAAATCTGCTGCCTATAAATATACAACATTGTTCATGGAATGCTGAAAATACCCAAACAGTTCTCTTGGTAGATGGATTCTTTGACTTGGTTTAGTTGTGTTGGTAAGGGTCACAATTTCATTATTGATCAATATGTCAAATATGGAATGTTCAAATTAAAGGATTCCTATTTATGTGGGTTTAGCTCTTTGGTTTGACTTTATAACATGTGGCTATGACTTTTGTAATTATAATATAAATGTTATTTGGGTTTGGAATATGTAGTGAATAAAATTTGATGTTGTCTTTGAGTTAAGTCGAATAATTTATTTTTTAGATCGGTTATGCAATGATTTGAGTTGGGAGATTGAATGTTTTGTGTTGGGCAATAATGCAATTGATGTCACTATAGACAGGTTAAGAATTTCTTGTGTTCTTTTCAAAAAAAACTTTGTTCATATTTTTTGAAAAAAATAGTAGAGGTAATATTTATTTCAATTTTTTTAATTAAAACAAATGAAGGAAAAATTATTTTAAATTAAAAAAATTTTAAGTTAAAAAGTGTCTTTAAATACAAATTATTACTAGTCTATACATATATATAATTATTTTTATATTTACACAAAAAAATTAAAAAGTCACTCTAAATACATTTTTTCAAGTTTTTAAAGGACACTCCAAATAATTTTGCAAAACATTTTTAACTCGGATTTTTTCTTTTTTTCAGTTAAAAGGGTCAGCTCCAAATAGGATCATTATACAAGTATTATAATTTTTTGATTTTCCAAACAAGACCAACACCATAATAGATTTTGGCCTATAATTTATGAAGACTTGGCCACCAACCACGGATGCCACCAGAAGGAGGTGGGTGAGTAGGTACTGGATTCACTCAGGCAATCCATTTTTAATGCATAAATTGACATACTCAGTCAAGCAATCCGTGGTAAAAAAAAAAAAAGTCAAGCCATCCATTTTTAATGCATAAATTTGTCAACATTAGGAAGGCCGCACGAAATAACCACCAACTCATGGCTACTGAACTTTCTTCGTATGAGCTAAATATTAAGGCATAATTACGTGAAAAATCTTTGAGATTTATCGTTTAATCACTTAAATTTTTTAATATTTGAAAAATTATATACAAATCCTCTTAAATTTGTACACGAGTAATACATAGACTTATGCCGTTAATATCCGTTAATAAATTACTTTCAGACCCTTAAAATTTAAAATGTGTAATACCTAGAGTCCTTAAGTTTAAAATATTATATTTTGACAAAAAAAATACTCCAATTAAAGATAAAATATCAAATATTTAAAATTTTACAATCAAAATTCATGTTCTACTATGTCATTTATTAAAATAAAAATCTATTGTTTTTCTTAAAAAATTATAATTAATACTGTTGATGTCGAAATTTGGATGACCTCCATATCAGTTTGTTGGACTTTAATCACTC